CCATCCGATATACGGTCCCAGAGCCACTGCACTCCTCTTAATTAACAGTCAGACAGTTAAAAGGGGACACTTAACCCGAGAGGATCAAAATCAGGTCTTCTACCACCAAGAAAGCACTGTCATGCAACAGCCTCCACTTTGCTGGTGGAAGCAGGGTAATTCCTTACCTGGCATTAAGGAGCCTCTCAAGAGGAGTCTGCTCTCGCTTTCCCTCCTCAAGCACAGCTTCCGAACCTGGATGTTCATTCAGTCAAAACCAAGTGTCCAACTCATGGCCGTGAGAGGGCATCTAGCTCTGGTAGAGACGTACCACATCACGCCCCCCTTCTAAATGTCACGGTCCTACTGGCTACTTACAGCAATCCCTGGCTTGGCAACCTGCCTGCTGTGAAATCTCCTTCCAGATGCCACGTGTTCCCCACGCATTGACGTGGAAACCTATTAAATAAGGGAATTTCACCCATGGGGATCCTCAGCATCAAAGATCATAATACGCTGATTGTCAACACGCCTGAGCTACTCCTTGTATCTTGCTTCTGTGTTTAAAAGTCCCTGCCATTTTGAAAACTGACTCAAAAGTCTTACTATAGGGGATATAATGAGACACGAATTTGGAAAAAAAAAAAAAAATCCTACGCTTCAAATAGAATAATTACAGAAATTGAGTGCAAGAGGAAGAAATCAAACACATAGAAACATCTCCTGGCCTCCCCCAATCCACAATCAAATTTGGTAGGCTTACCAACCTCCCATTTCAGTTTTCCCATTTAAGTTAATTTCACAAGAAGGGATTTTTCAAGGCAGTTATCCGTGTAGATTCAACACCAATGCAACACATTTCCCCCGAAGAGGTTTCTAAATCAATTTAAATTCCAATAAGCTCAAGTAAATGTTTTCCATTTGATTCAATAATCCATACACACTTATAAATGGCTTTTCCCCCATGTACTACAAGACAAACATGGTTTGTGTTTCTAACAGCTCTGGCTAATAAAAAAATTCTAATTTCCCATCCTGAATGGTAAAAACACGTAATCTTTATTCACCTCTCAATGAACCAGATGACATAAACAAATGAAACAAAATCAACCTTTAAGAGCATTATTTGAATGACTAATTCTCTAAGTGCTTCTTAAAGAACACATGATCTTTGGCAAATTCACCAAAAAAATAAGAAAATCACAAAAAAAAGTCCTAGAATCTAGCTTCTTAAATCTCCCAATAATTTTGCATGAGTTCCTTTTAAAGAGCAACATGAAACTTCTTCACGATGTCTTTTAAAATTTGTTCCCAGAAAAGGTCATTACAACACAGTTACTAGTAGGTATCAGTCAAGACTGGCATGAAGATTAGGGCTGGAGGTGGGGGGTGGCAGAAATATAATTTCCTCTAAGAATATCTAGTGCCCTGTAAATTTCTAAAATGGAGTGAAGTGTAGAAAGGAGGGCTGTGGAGGTCAGGGTGAAACACACGTCCTCCACGGATAAACATCTTCTCAGTACATGGAGCAAAAAGCAACATCTGGAGAGGAAGGCAGGTGGCTTGGCTCACCTATTTCCAAAACTGTGTCTTCAAGTTAGTTAAAACCCCTGGGAGTACGACCACGTAGCATTTCTAGAGCCCATCAAATTCCTGATCCATCAGATCAATATTGACTGAATAAAAGGCAAAATTAGTACTTGATTTTTTAATGGACTATGTTTAAGATTATCCAGGGTGATAATGTTAACATAGGAAATTACAATTTGATACTATCATGTTAATATTGAACTTACCTATCGCACATTAGTTTCGCAGCTGTGATTCTACTTACATAGCAGCTTCTGAGAAAATTTCAAATATAAGTTCTTGTCCTAACTGTAGTAATAATCCTTCAGTGTTAGAAGGAAATACACCTTACAAACCAGCTCTGATGACGATGGAGAGAGACTGAAGAGTTGACTATGACTAGAAACCTTATGGCTGTAAAAACATCTTGCCTAATGAGAAATGTTTTAAATAATCTCTTGTAAGAGAATGGCTTTGCATAAGAACACAAGAAGAGACAAGTTTCCAACACATAAAAAAAATATTTGGTAAAATCTGGAACTTTGCAGGAGTATTTAATGCCATGTGCCCCATTTGCAGCAGAAATCAAACTATCTCCCTGTCACCAAAAAATCAGTAATCTGTGCAATCGAGTGTAAAAGCCATTATAAGAAACCATAAAAGAACGCGAAGCACACACCCTACCCTGCTGGTGGGACTTAGTCCATCCCAGTAGCAGGACTTTGCATTCACCCTCATTGAATATCATGAGACTCCTCCTGGACCTTTCCTCTAACCTGCCCACGTGATTAAATTGTTTGCTTAACTGAGGTTGTTACAGTGCCTTTAACACAAGATAGGCACTATGCCACAAAAGTATGAGTCACATCATCTGAATAACCACCAGGAGAACTACCAGAGATGTAGATAATGCAGCAAAAGAGCCCCTTCCCTGCTCTGGATGGAAATGGCTGCGTGGCTTTTGCAGAAGTACAACAAAACTTGATTCACTGGAAATAAATACACTACAGCTGAAAATTCTGTTTATAAAGCAAAGACTAATTTCTTGGGAATAGTCAGTTCCATTGCATAATCAAACTCATTGATTAGTAACATTAGAAACTTCATGTTAGTACTTGCTACCTGTCACTGCTCCCAGTTAATGAACTTGAGAAAAAAGAAGAGAAAAAAAAAAATCCCTGTTTTTCACATGTCCATCATTCACACTATTCAAGGGAGGGCTCATTGTTGAAATATACGCAAATACATACAATTCAATGACAAGTAAATGAGCACAGCGAGTTTCTTTTGACTTTCATTGTGTGGGATTTGAATAGCAAACACTGTCCAGATTGTATACCTTTTCTGTACAAAGCATTCACTGCACCACGAGGCCTTCGGATGGCTGGATGTGATCAGATGCACTCGGACTTGCACACACAACACAGAACAAGATTAATTCTGGAGATATGTACAGCTTACACTGTCCCTTCCAGTTCTTCACGTACTTCTACACGCTGCAGGGAGCTCCGATCGCTGGCACAGAACATATTTTATATTTCTCAGCAGTAAAGGTAATTCTCAGAATTTCCATGTGGGGAATAGAATCAGATCTTGTGCAGAGAAGCATTCAGTTATGATGATTTATGAAAATGTTTTTAGAAGTTGGATGCTGAATATTTTATTAACATAAATATCAAGTTCCTAAACCAGTTGTTTGCTGTTTTCAAAAGTTTCACCCTCCAGCAGAAGAAATACCATAAGAAACACACATCAAAAACATTACCTGAATTGCAAAAAACTGTTAATTTTTGATTTCCTACCTGCCCAAAAATACTGAATGATCATACAACCAAATGTTCTTTACTTCCCTTGAACATCTCTCTCAGATAACATTCTCATTTCCAAAATTCCCCTACTTTTACCTTTCCAACCTGCAGCTTTTTAATCATAAATGAATCATTTTTTCCTTATAAGTGTAAGCTTAGAATAGTCATAAGGATCCTACACCACCTTCCCAAACAAACACTTGAATTTTTTTTTAATTGCTGTGTCTCTTTTTAAATACGCCAATATAAAGATTTCTGATACAAAAGCAGTAGCAAACACAAAGGATTAATTAACGGTTTGGTAGAATCACTGCAGTAAACAGTATAGCCACCCAGATGCTAAACAAGTTATTTATCAGATGTCTAAGATGAGTAAGATTTACAACACAAACATACATGAACAAAGATGAGAATGTCTTAAAAAAATGTAAAAAAAATACTCAAAAGCAAATGGCTAAATTATACATCCACAAAAATAAACAGAACGACAAGCTGAAAAGTTCACATGAAAATTCTAATCTTGCTGCCTCAAGTATTAACCTATTTAAGTATGATTTTTTCTTTTTTGTTCAACTTTTTACTTTTATTTGAGCAATTCATATTAAATATGTTTTCAGTTTCATTATCTGTATAGGCTTTAAAAAACATCAGACAGCTACACAGAAGAACAGGAAGTTCATCAGTACAACCATAAGCAATAAAAAAATACTAACAGAAATCTAAAGATAAAAATCCCTACTAAAAACCTTTCAGTACTCTTATTCATAAGCACCAAATTCATACAGTCCCATTTCTCATACTTATCAGACCAAAGAACTGCCCTACAATCTGATATAAAACTGTAAATACAAATATTAATTGATCCAACCATGCATTTATTCATAGTTTCTCCTTGAGTTTTCCTCCTCCTTGTTTATATTTCCTTTGCCAGATTACAATTAATCTCTCTATAAATTGCTACGGAATTCTCTGTAACTTCACAATGTGTCAGTAAGAGTCAACCTCCAGGAACAGAAAGTGCATTTAAGCTCTGCTTAGTTCAAAAAAAAAGTAGAAACAAATCCTTTAGGAGAAAACTTAGTTATCAACAGGCAAAAAAAAAAAAAAAATTATCTTTTGCTAAGAGTAATTTCTGAAGCTGTATTTCCATTTGTGAAACAGTTGCAATATACATATAGAGTAAAAATTAATGAACTGTAATACATAATGAACTGTAATGCATTTTAAATATATTTCAATAAGATAAGAGTAAAAATTAATGAACTGTAATACATAAGCTCTTTCTTGCATTTTAAATATATTTCAATAAGATGTAAAAAAAAAAAAAAAAATTATCTTTTGCTAAGAGTAATTTCTGAAGCTGTATTTCCATTTGTGAAACAGTTGCAATATACATATAGAGTAAAAATTAATGAACTGTAATACATAAGCTCTTTCTTGCATTTTAAATATATTTCAATAAGATGTAGTTTATGTCAGAGAATAAAATCCCATGTTCCTATACCAGACTTCCACTGTGCCTCACAATTTTACTTTCACCGAGCACACAGATAGCAGAAGAATCACAGATGCATAAAAGGGTAGCTGATGTAGGAGCTGATTAAAGTAGAAAACACAGACAAATAAAGAGAAATTAGTCACTACCTTTCTTTTTGGAGTCTTTCTTTGTGCTGGTTTTAACAGCCACTTGAAGTTCTGTCTCAGTTGACATCCTATATCCTTAGTCCTCTTCACACAGATCCAGGATCTCAGTCAGGCTCATTTAGAACGTCTCTCCAAGAGAATAATTTAGCCTTTCAGATACTATAACCCAAACAGTTCATCTCATTCACTCCTTTCGAGTGCTGTTAAAGAAGGAAACAAAAAGTAATGGTCAATGTCTAAGTTTAAAACATTAAATAAACGCAAGCCATTGCAAGCTTACTGAGGAAGAAACCTATGAAGTTCTCCGTCCACAGAGTCAATTACCCACAATTTTAGATGCTTAAACACAGTCATCGAGTCCTGTTTGAGATGTCTTGGCATAGCTGAAGATATCTTTACAGGCTACAGAGACCACACAAGGTCTGCAGAAGACCTGTATTTCTGGGCCAGCAGCTGGAGGACAAAAACCATGATCCAGGAAGAAGCTGGAAACATCACCAAAAGCAAGTAATTCTGCAAGGACTCCATGCAACAATCCCAAGGCAAAAATATATTGCCAGACAGTAAATTCAGATTTTACTCCTGAAATGCACTTTTAATGCTTTTATTCCCCTACTTGAACAAAGACAAATGCAAAACGTATTCATCACTCATACTGAGAGCATCACACTTTGCCACTCCTCTTGCTTATGATAATGTTTCCAGTACAAAAGAATCTGCCTCCATGTAAAAAAAACCAACATAATTCTTAACGCACATCTAGTAATTTTTCTTGCAAGGAACACTGAGAATACAGTTAATTAAACCTACAAAATATAAATAGGATAGGGGATAACATTCAGGGCGCAAGCTACAGCTTTATGTAACGTGTTGGGGAGATACACAAAATCCATGTTGTGAACCCACGACAGTAGCTGCAGAAATGTGGACCAGTGATCTACAGCCTATGGAGGCAAAAAATACACCAAAAAAAAAATAAAACCCAAACAACCAAACAAAGAATAAACCATTACTCCAGCTCTTACTTTGAAGGATGGGCCACCTACTCCAGCCCGTCTGCTAAGGGCAGAGGACCACACCGTCCCGAAGCCATTTGTCATCATGCTCCTGCGCTAAATGCACGTTCTTATTGCTCTTTCTTATTGTGAAAAAGTTCTCATTATTAGCACAATTACGGTGAAGTCCATCTGGCCTGTCTGAACAGCTGCCCAGTTATTAAATAAGCATTTAATAAAGAAATTAACCCAGCATATCAGCTGGTTAGCTGGCCAGAGATTAACTGCAGTTGTAGTTATTTACTAATGTTCCTTCTCTGTCATTTAAGAGAGTAACACACTGCAAACATTGAAATAATTTTGACAGTTTAAATCACTTTTCACAGTAAGGGCTGTGAAGCCTCTAGTACTTTCAAATCCAGGCTCTTTTAACATTTTAAAATGCTTCAGTAACATTACACTGCCATGCACCGTCTGAAGTGATTTAATATTGCTGAAGTGTGTCAGGGGCTTTCTTTAATAAGCTCTTCAAATCTGTATGTGTATCATAGAATATTCAACGATAGCTTTTCCAAATCTGCTGAACTGATTTTGAAATACAACGCGCCCTGTTCCTCCTCTGTGGAGTCTGAATGAGCACCCCATCCCAAAAAGGAGGAAAACCAAACCGAAACAACGTACAAATTAAAGTTGCACTCCTTGCTAAATACACCTTCTCTGAGAACCTGAATAAACCAAAAGCATTTTGATTAACATTCTCAGTTAAGAAGGCAGCAGGAAAGGACAAAGCAAACGAAGGTTGATCAAAGAGAGAGGAGAAGTAAGATAACCACCGCAATCTGGGAGGATCTGAAGTGCTCTTTCACCAGGTCCACGGCCAGGGAGATGTCTCTACCCCAGACACGGTCACAGTGGGCCACCACGTGCAGTGACCATTGGGTCCTGGCACTGAGGAACCCACACACTGTGCTGAGGGAACCACCTCACCCTGCTGTCCATGGAGTCGCTCCTCACTTACGCTTGAAATCCCCCCCAGCAAAGAGGGAGGGAAGCACTGGAGAGAACAGATGTCCCTCCAACCCCCAGCTCCTTCCCCTCCCCCTCCACACAACCCAATTTAATAATATTTAGTTTTACAGCACAGGAGGGATGCATCGGTCTTTACAGCTCGATGGCACTTAAAGCATGTCTCAATCACAGCCGGATTGACAGTCTATTTTTCTAGAATTTGGATTTATATTTACCTAAGGGTTACCTGCGTAACTTTGCAAGAAACACTAACGTGCTCCACTTAACAAAAGAAAAATATTTATAATAGGTCCATTGATAATAAAACCAAAACGAAGGAAAGAAAAAAATACCCCCAGGGTCAACAGTTAAGCAAGTTTTAAGGTCTTATAGAAGACTGTTTTGGGTACAAAGCATCAAGAATGTAATTTCCTGTCGTCAGCCACTTTCAGCAGGATGGCTGAAATAGCAGCATCTGAATGGCACTGAATATTTTAAAACAACAACATATGACTGCTATCTCATTTGAAACTCTCCAGAAAAGCTATATCCCCTCGAGGCTATCCCACCGAGTAATATTTTTTAAAATAAATGCATGTCTATTTTTGGACAGGTTCACATATTGATTTACTTTAAAACCTAATCAGGTCGTACTCTCGCAGACTCATAGATCCTTGAATAATGTAATAGGTGTCTTTGTAAAGGAGCACATAAACATCTGTCAGATGCAAGCTATAGTTCAAACTGAATTTGCTACAGAGACAATTCCTCCAAAAGCGTAGGTCTTTATGTAAGCTACATTAGTAAACTTTCATATACTGTCCATATTTCAGCCGTTTATTACCCAGATGAGAATGGCAGTCAATCTGCTCTTCACCGCAACAGCTTTTATTGTCTCCTCCAATCTAGGTCACCGTTGTTAAATACGACGCTCTTCCAACTGTGGGAAGCACTGCAGCATGTGTTTTATCAATGAGATGCTATTTTCTTTGATCAGTTCTGCCACATTTCTCTCCCTGCTCTAAAGACAAAATTTTGTTAGCTGCATTTAAAAAAAATATAAAAAAAATTCCATCATCTTATACTCTAATGATCTTCTTGTGTGCCTCGTTACTGTTCCAGCTCTTACAACATTACGTGCATGCCTCAGCTTTCCCTAAAGAGGATTCAGAGCTCTTCGTTTTAACAGAATACTGACATTTTCTGTTCCCTTATTAAGTAGCTACAGTAGGAACACAATCAGCGCATTCTGGAATTAACTGACTCTTAATTCCAAGAGAAGTCTTAAGCCTCCATTCTGTATTACTCCTACGCCGGGGTAAAACCTAAAGCCTTAGTGAAGAAACGTTTTTGTAAATTCACTTTGCAGTTAGGATTAACACACGTTGGACCTTTTACGCACAGGGAAATTCATCACATGCTCCTCCCGCCTCCCCCACGCATTTGTAAAACAACAATTTCTGTCAAATCATTTGTCTTTTCAACCACGCTTGAGTGAGCTCATGAAGGGGTTATTAGGCGACTTCCCCTGGCCCAAGTTATGAAGGAGGTCAAACAAGACGATCATAATACTTCCCCTCCGGCTTTAAAATACATGAATTTATTAATTTTCTTCAGGGCTTCAAAACTTAGAGTTTCGTCCCCTGAAACCAGTTTCCATCTGCTTATGTAAAGGAGTTTTAGAAAGGATTTGTAACTAAGCCCTGGCATTCCCTAGGTATTTAAGTTCTCCACAGCCCCAAAGTGGGATTTGACAAGAGGATGGTGCCTCCCACACCTTGCTTTCACAAAACAAAACCCATGCTCCCCATCCTTAGCTCTTGCTTTTCTACCTCTGAAGTCCTGCAATTCATTTGCTTTCTTCCAAAACACCCAACATAATCATCTCTAAAGGGTTGCTGATGCACATGATTTTGCAAGCGTTAGACAAAGCCCAAACATATTCAAAGGGCAGAATGAAAGTGACAAAATGATTTTAAAAAGTGCTAGGATCCTGGAAAACTGAAAACAGTTCAAGTGCGAAGGACTGCTATCCAGGGGGAAAAAAATGTTACTCATCAACTTCTCATCTGACCCTGGAGCCTCACATGGAGAACTTCAGTGGGGCACAGAGGAGCAGATGGTGGAAAAACCCAAGCTCTCCACCAGTGCCCTTTACACCCTCCAGAGAGAGGAGGCCACGGGACCCTTTGGAGCCATTCATGCTATTTTGTGCTCATCGGTTCATTTCCCCAGTGGTCAGGTCTTGCAAACATCCTGCAGGAATCTCCTTGGTATCAGAGTATTTATTTTTTACAGAAGGCACTACACTAACTCCAAACTGAAAGCCAGGGGATTGGTCCAAAACCCACTGAAATACCTCCGTTAATAAGCCCTGTAAGAACCAGAAGACGAGGAAGATGAGGCAAAATAGACATCTTAAGATACTGACACAGAGGAGAAAACAAGGAGGCCAAGAAAAGCAAACAGGGGAAGCTGTCTCTGTATATATTTCATTAAAGCAAATTCTATAACAACGTGTTTAGCAGTAAAATCTAAACTTGTGCATTAAAATTCTCTCCACCCGGCAAAAGACGACAATCTCCATTAAACTGTTGCATGTGCCTACTCTCCCTCCTCTAGTTTTGTCATTTGCCCACAGAACAACATAATAAACTGCTCCCAGTGACTCCGTCGTGGCATCGCACGTCAATCACCATGTTTCCCTGCGATTTCTTTTACAGGCTACAGAAATGCCAGTAAGGAGAGAGGCAGCTTACTGTTCATGCACAACGCGGAGATCCGACACAAAAATTCATTCCCTCAGCAGATATGGGGAAGGAGAGTGTCCAGTTTAGCTTCTTGAATATTCCCCTGCAAACTGGAAACCCTCTGAAACCCAGTACCCAACTTCTCCTACTGCCTCCCTAAGCCACACAGCTTGCGAAGACTCACCAACACCTCCATACTTAGTTTAGTTTGCTCCCCTTCACCTCTGACTTCTATACATTAAGAGAAAGGGAAGAGATTTATGTGCTTTACTATGCTGTCTCTACTATGTCTGTAGTGAGAATGACACTTCCCAATTAACCCTTTTTAATTCTTCTGACATGAGAAAACTACTCAAGCGGTAACATTTTTTTAATTCTTCTGACATGAGAAAACTACTCAAGCTCATTTTGACAAGAGGATGGTGCCTCCCACACCCTGGTTTAACA